GCTCCCCTCCTGGAGGAGGCAGGAATAGTGTTATGCAGACAAAACTACACAGGATTGTTTTGGGGGGGGGGGGAGATGCACGCCCCTGGGGTCAGGGCAGCGTGGGCTGTCGGTCACAGTCCGTAAAGCAGCCCTTCAGTGCAGGGCAGCGTGACCTAATGGCCAGAGTGTATCGAGCCACCCTTTGCTACAGGGCAGTGGAGTCCATAAAGCAACCCTTTGGCACAGGGTAGCACATCCTAGTGGCCAGAGGCTATAGCACTGGGACACCCCTTATGGGGTGTGGCAGCCCCAGTAGGGGGGCCCGGGCCCACCCGACTCCACCAGGCCCCGGCCCAGGGCCCTAACAGTGGCGTAGCACCTTGCCACTGACTCAGCAGCCAAGGGGGTCCTACCAAAACACACGGAGTTTCCCCGGGCAGGAGGTACCACTCGTTCACCCTCCCTGGGTCACTTCCTACCCGAGTCTGCGTTGGGGTTTCCTATGAGACGTCAGGTCCTCTGTGTTTGGCAGGGCTGGTCGTCTCCAGGGTTTCCTCCAGTCGCCGGGGTGCAGGCGGGCTGTGGACGGCCTCAGTTCCCGGCACCGTCAGAGGTTGTGGCTAGCCCATCACAGGAGCTTCCCAGGCAGGTCCATCCCCTGCAGCCTCTCCCCCAGAATGAGCCGGTCTCCCTCCCTTTATACTACTAGAGCACTTGGAGCATGCCCAGTCTTGCCAGGGAGGTGGGACTTCCGCTGTCAATAACTGGGGCTTAGCCCTGTCTGGGCTGGTGCAGGGTAAGCCGACCCCGTCACAGGGGGCAAGACAAAGATGCCACATTTATTATGCTACAATTTGATTTATGACCAATGACTAATACCTAATACCTATCCACACACATACGCACACACCCATCAGATGTTCTGCAGCTGCTGCATAGTTACCAGTCCTGAACGTAGCTTGAGTCCATAGCTTGATTTCGCCGCTTGGGATCGTAGCTTGTGGCGGCAACTGGCCAGGAAAGCCGGGCACGAGGAAGGGCTGGGTCTGCCCTCCCATGTTGGCAGCAGAACGTTACCCTCCAAAGTCTTCCATCTCACCCATCCTTTTTGTAGGCTTTAGTTTGAACAAGAGTCTATGGGTCTTGCTGTGTCGCGCTGCCTCTGGGTTCGGTGTGATGGATCACCCGTCAATTGCAGACTTGACTTTCAGCCGTGGACCCGGCTTTGATCTTCCTTCTATTGTACCTTTGTTCTTTTCTTTTTAGGGTGGGCTCTTCTCACTTTGTCAGGACTCTTGTCCGCATCTTCAGCCCTTGGTGTTTGCACTTTATTTCATCAGGACAGGCTGGGGCTGGAGGTTGAGTCCATCATCCAGACATACCTTATTTACACATCTAAAGTGACCTAATCAGATTACAGCGGGGTTTGCAAAAATGAAGGTTGCAGCCAGTTTACAAAATGGAGTGAGCGTTTGTAAAATGGGGTTTGAATTACAATACGGCAAACAGTGAACAGAAGTTACACTGTAGGCAAGTGTAATAAATGGTGAACAGAAGTTCCAATACTGAAACAGTGCAAGTCTCAGTGATTTAAGCAGCAGTTGGATCGATAGTGAAACTTACAAGGGCAACTGGCTGAACGCTGTGGCTCTTAACAAGAATCTTAATTGTCAATTAGCCAGTTTTTGGGGTAAGCGGTTTTATGAATGAATGTTGTTTCATTCATTAAACTTTACTTATGAAGTTATATTAATAAAGTGAACAATTACAAACAATTTTATTCATCAGTTCTACAATAGAAGCCAGGAGTCCTGGCTCCCAGCCCCCTCCCAGCGCTGGGGAGAGAACCCAGGAGTCCTAGTGCCAGAGTTGGGGTGGGGGCGGACAAAGTTGTTGGGCCCCCCAGGAGCTTGTCAAAGGGCTGGCGCCCCCTCCCGAGTACCCACTGGGGGGGTGTCAGCACAGCGAGGGGGAACACACCCCTTAACCCTTCATGCACCAGCACCTGCTGCAGAGTCAGGAGCCCACTGGCCCCAGCCCCCCAAATCTGTCGGCAACTCATCTCCCGCCACCACCACCCCGCTCCTTTCCCGCAGCCTCCCACCGACTGCCGTCCTCGGGCATTGACCACGGAGCCCGGGGGTGGCGGGGGCAGGAGAGCACGGCTCTGGGGTAGGCCCTACGTAAACATTCACATGTTTGCGGGGGGGACTGGTGCAGGCAGGAAACACCGAAGTCTCGATGCTCTGCACCCCCAGGGCAGGACCCCCCCACCCCTCCGAGGACAGGACAGCACAGCCACGGTGGGACAGGCCGGAGCCCCCTCCCCAGCCCCCAGGGCATGACCAACCCCCCACAGCTCCCCAGCCCCTGGGGCAGCCACCAGCTCCATCTGTCCCACGGGAGAGACCCCCCCCAGCCTGCAGCTGAGTCGAGGGACCACAAAGGCAGGCGGGGGGGGATCGCTGGAAGTAGCCCCCCTTTGTTCCCCCTTTCCCAGCCGCTGGCCATGGGGGAGGGGGCAGTAGATGCCCGTCTGTGACGTTATTGATATAATCTGGGACCATATAGATCATTGTTGCAACCAAGGTCCTGTAGTGGCACGCAAATCTTGTATAAAGGGGGTCAAATGGGGTGTCTAAGACAAGGTTATGATTTGCTGGTTAGGATTATGCTGTCTATATGTGTGTATCACTTTTGTAGTTGAAGTTATGAATATTGGCTCTATACTGTCTGTATTTCAAACTTATGCTATGCTGCTGGGTGACATCCCAGACAAACTGGTGTTAGCTCTGCCTAGCCTGCTTGATGGCCCATTAAGGACCATCAGCTATACAATGGACCCATTGAGAGAAGGCAGACACGCCTTGTAACTCAGCAAAGTATGCAGGGACTGGCCCATGTGACTCCAGACTCCATTTTGCTGTAATTTTCCACAGTAAGAACAAAGAGGTGTTCGTACACCTGGAAAAGACTATATAAGGCTGATGCCTCATCTCCATCTTGTCTTCAATCCTGCTTCATACCTCTGAAGGAACTTTGCTACAAGCTGAAGCTTTGAACAAAGGACTGAGGACCCATCCCAGCGGGGGATGTATTCCAGAGACTTGATTTGAACCTGCAGTTTATTCCATCACTGCTGCAAGCCTGAACCAAGAACTTTGCCATTACTGTATGGAATTGATTCCATTTAACCAATTCTAACTCTCATCTCTATCTTTTTCCTTTTATGAATAAACCTTTAGATTTTAGATTCTAAAGGATTGGCAACAGCGTGATTTGTGGGTAAGATCTGATTTGTATATTGACCTGGGTCTGGGGCTTGGTCCTTTGGGATCAGGAGAACCTTTTTCTTTTACTGGGGTATTGGTTTTCATAACCATTTGTCCCTATAACGAGTGGTACTGGTGGTAATACTGGGAAACTGGAGTGTCTAAGGAGATTGCTTGTGAGACTTGCAGTTAGCCAGTGGGGTGAGACTGGAGTCCTCTTAGTCTGGCTGGTTTGGTTTGCCTTAGAGGTGGAAAAAACCCCAGCCTTGGGCTGTAACTGCCCTGTTTGAGCAGTTTGCCCTTAGTTGGCACTCTCAGTTGGGTTCCGCCAGAACCGCATTGTCACAGTGGGCTAGAACCCACTTCATCAGATGACTTCATTAGACTGACCTCCCACTTGGTAAGACAACTC